CTTAGTTAGTCTCATGTTTTCATATATTTTATAGACTCATAAATCATTTACAGACATTTAGATCTTTTGCTGTCTCAAGATTAATAAAGAGATACAAATGTGGGTTTGATAAACGTTTTACTCTAAAGACTAATAATCAGTCTAAGCAGACCCCCTAATAATGACTTCAGCTGGAGCAGTTTTCTATTTCTCCTATGGAATATGGAAAACAACTTCCTGTTGAGTTTGCAATGATCACTTACCACCATCCACATGTACAACTTTGCAAACAGAACTTCAGACCATCCTCTGAAGTTTTGAATTAATTTGATCTGGGATGATCACTAACTGTATTTGTCCTGTAACATCCTGTCCACTTCTGCTCAGTGCTGCACTTTGTACTCTGTTTTAATTGTGGGGTCGAATCATGACATATTTATATTTATAGCCACTTTCCTTCCTGGAGTGAGCCAGTATAGCTCACTGTAACGGTGCATTTTGGACTCATCTTACTGGATGAGCTCGATCTGAATATGATATCAGGACACCAATGAAAAACTCCAGCAAAGGCTTCAAATGTAAGCCCAAACACACACACATGTGCAGCATGCTAAAATCTCATATCTAGACCAGCGTGTTTTTTTCTGACTTTGACATGTTTCAGCTGTAAAGTTCCTGCAGCCTTCCTCTGAAGACTTGTGTTGTTGTCGCAATGTTGTTTGTCAGCTGATAAAGGTTTGGCTCTTCTACCTCGAGTAGCAGTAGACCACAACCCCTGTTTGACGGTCTCAGGACAGCATCCCAGGTGCATTCAGGCGCACAGTCGCCGAGAGTCGATGTGATGATGCTCGGCTTAAACAGCGTATCCCCCGGGAGAGCTACGCAATCCCTGAACGCCCATAGGCTGTATCAGTTGTCAATCATAGAAAACATGAACCCCCTAATAACTTCTAAAAACGGAGCTTCACAGAAAAAAGAGGACTTGAGCATCAACCAGTCTGACAGTTACTACATGTCAACATCACAAGCAGGGGGGAGAAACATTTATGTACTGTGTAATAAATTTCTAAAGTTTGTCCACAGTCCCATAAGCTTTGCTGGCGGAGGCAGGATTTATGACCTATACTGCAGCCCACCAACAGAGGGTGCTGTTTTCGGAGTGGCTTCATCCAGCAAGGAGGCAGACTCTGTCCATTCTATCTACAGTCTATGGTTGAGATCCGTTGCGCTTTAAGTGGATCTCCTCATTGATTTTCCTCTCATTTTTGTCAGTATTTCAGTCCAAACTTTCTCAAACAGTTTAACAATAGTTTTTAAAGACAGATGTTTCTCTTAGATGTAAAAATGAAAGTGTAATGAAAGAATACCTCACTATGATTGGTCATCTTAGGCCAAAATGTGTTTCTTATACTTACTCACATCACAGCTGTAGGCCTCTGTCAAAAGCCCGACTTGTAGAGTTTCAACAACTCAAATTCTCTCTTCAGTACATGGAGGAACGTTTAACTGAACTCTGTAAATGTTTGCTGAAGGACTCAGTCTGAATGTGAGTCTGAAGAAATCATAATCCAGATTTATTTGGATTAGGTGGACATGAACCATAATGTAGTTTAGCTCTGCTTAGGGAAGTAAGTGGCTAACTAGTGCTGTATGCTAATTACCTGAAGGTGTTTTGTTGAATTGTATTATATTTGTTTATTTAGCACAGATTAAAAACAGTGCAAGGAGGGAACGAAGCCGATAGGCTTCTAAAAAGTTCCACTCCCATCAGGGCAGAGAAAGCATAAGGTGCAGACAACTAAGTAACTAGGACATAGACAGGTTACACATGTACAATGATTAGGGAAAGGTCAAACAGATACAAATTTCCATAAATGGAACACAGACAAATCATCAAACAGTGCTAAAGACAATAACGTATTCATAAAAAGGAAAGAAACATGATCATAACAAATAATGATGTATTTAAGACATGATTAGTTGAGATTTTAATGATATTTTAAAGGAGTTAAAGGATGATATTGATTTTAAAGATGCATCCAGATTATTCCACAGTTTTGGACCTCTAAAAGTGATGCTAGACTGATGACTAGAAGTTCGACATGAAGGTAACTGAAGATGGCCATATTGTCGCGTTGAGTACGGGTGAAGGTCGGATGAAAAGGTAAAAAAGTTGCGGAAAGTTTCAGGAAGGGCTTGTTTGTTATTGATGAATTTGTGGACATACAAGAGTGAAAGACATTGAGTTTGTTAATCGGTAAGATGGAGTATTTAGAAAAGAGAGGTGCAGAGGGTTCGTGTCTGCTGAATCAAGATTTCATTCTTAAGAATCTTTTCTGGATTATTAATAATTTCTTTAGGTAAATTGGATACGTTGCACACCATACAATAGTTCATGTATGGAAATAGAAAGCTGTAATTCAAAGACAAATGAGCAGAGGGATTGATCAGGGGACAGACCTTATTAATTATACCGAGGCGCTTCATTGACCTTTTGCATACTTGGCTGATATGAATGTTCCACTTTAGATCCTCATCAATGACAACACCCAAAAAAGTGGTGTGGGGTACTTGAGAGATTTCAGTACCATTAATTGATATTTTGGCTTCTTCTTTTGGATAAGATTTGTTTTTGTTGCCTTGTCAAAAATGCTACCATATCAATAAAGACTGGATTCTACAAAAAAATAAAAATTAAATGAAATTTTAGTGAATATTCAATTTGGAAAGTTGCTGTGTATTTGTGTCAGATGATCATCACACATCCCGTTATTACCTGAGTAGACTCTGGAGGCTGCTTTGCTCCCCCGGATTTTTTTTTTCCCACTCTCTTCTAAACGTAGCGATACACTCAGACCTGTTTTTTAAAAATGTGCCCACAGCTCACCTCTTTTCATCCTTGCCCCTGCACAGGCTGCAGGTTGTTATAAAGCTCATATATTATGATGCCAGCAGGCCTAAGTTAGGATGGCTGATAGTTAGCTGTTTTTGACTTCCTGACAGAAACTGTAAACAGACTCATACTGACATGCATGAGGCGGAAACCATCCAATGACGATGAAAAAGATGATGACAAATAGTGGCAGCACACTTGTTGCAGATAGATGATGTAACTGGCTGTCCCTCGAAGAGAGCCATCGATTACATCTCGTCATTATTCATCAGAGTGTTTTTGAACGTGATTTTTGCCACAGTTAAACCTCTACATTATGGTCTCTGTATAATCATTATCGTAATCATTGACAAAATTAACACTGAACATGATATTAATGGACTTCAGTAGGTTATGTTATTTCTGGGTCTTCCAGAGGAGAGACTGTTGTCGTCATCACCATGAGCTGAGGGTGACAATGCTCATCAATACTCAATCACAGTTTGTAAAATTGTCACTCAATTTGAGATTTTCAATCAGATTTTTATATTTTCTCGTGTTCCTTATGTTTAATGTTGCAGCCATCCAAGTATATCCTAAATTTGATGCAAGAAATCCACTTTTTGAAAAAATGACCAAATAAATAAAGACGCAAAGAGGGCAAAGAAGGTGCAGCAAGTGAGTGTGTGTAATCATGTGCAGCATTGTGCTCAGAGGATTTTTAAACACCCTGGCACACACAACCATCCAGTTTCTCGCCCAGCATGGACGCGCCATGGGATGTAATTGAGACTTCACTGGCATTAGTGACCATTCCCCCCCCACACACAAACGGCACGTACAGATGTCAGAGATCTGTAAGACCATACACTGCCCTTGAACCGCCGTGCTAGGGTTACCTTTAGTGAGACGGAGCAGCTGTGAGAGATTTAACTTCCTCCTCCTCCTCCTCTTCCTCAGTACTGTCTCTGCGTTGCCTTATCTTTCAGTTACAAAAGCTGCATCTACCTCAGGCTGACCTGGCTCGGACACGAAGGCCGACACCATCTCTGTTACCAAAACCCAGCTGGACTTGTTTATCCGCAGGAGTGTATGTGTGTGTTTGAGGTCTCTGTGTGTGTAAATGTCGTCATGATTCACTCTGCACACACAATACACTCCTGACCGAGGCTTAATGGGAGGGCCTTTGTTTTGTCCACTTCCCAAAAACTACACACACACCATGATCAAAAACACTGCGCACACACACACACACACACACACACACACACACACACACACACACACACACACACACACACACACACACACACACACACACAGAGGCATAGACACACAAATCTAGGCTGTAACCCCCCTCGTGAAAGAGACGGCAGAGTGGTTATGAATGAAAAAAAGGGGGGAGGAGTGGAGAGGGGGATAATCGTGCCGTGCACAATGACACTTAACAAAATGTCTGAGTCAATTCACACACATCTAAATCCTTCCTCCTGGGTTCCCCACTAACGCTCCATTATCCCTGTGCCGCAGAAAATCCCTCTAAATAGAGAACCTCAGAATGCCAATTGGGGACATGAAACAAAAACGCCCCATTCATCTGCAGATCTGACTGCAGTCTCAAGGAAATTATTTAGCATGTAAACAAAGTCGGCTTTTCGCTCTCTTTTCCTCCTCCCTGACCTCCACTCATAAAACATAAAAGCGTGCTACGGCCTTGAGTTGCAAAGAGATGCTAACTGCCCCGACGAGTCGATCCTCAAGCAATCTAAGCAAAACTGTTCTTGTCTCTAAAGTACCATCAAGAGGCCGCTGAGCATATGCATTTCTGAGCATGCTCCAATGAAAGCTACTCACCCCCTCCTCACCCTCCTTTCTCCCATCTGTCTGCAGAAGCATCACAGCGAGGACGCCGGCAATGATCAATGCTTGCTCCTGCCAGTTTAAGCAAAGAGATAGAGCTCTTTACAGCAACATTTACAGTGATCTACAACAGCAACATGCTCCTGCAGCTCTGTTTGCCTTTATTTGTTCTGAACCCTGGCCTCGGCCTCAGCTCTTGGCATTTACTGTCTCACAATGATGAATTCCTGCAGCTTTAATGTCATACTCTATAAAGTCACACGGCTGCTGGGTGTCACTGTGAAGCGGTTTGGCCTCTGAGCTATCGACACATTCACAGGAAAAACACTCTTTTCCTGCATGGCTGCTGTGCGTGGTTTTATTATCAGAGCGGCAAATTGAGCATTACACGTCTGCTCAGCTGTCACATTTCAATGCAGGAACAAGCACCAACAATTTGGTCAATTCTGCCGTGTGCTTTAATCTCTTCAGACTGTATTCAACACTCGATCTGACCAAGCAACCGTTCTAATATGACAATTACTTTCTCCTGCTTTCCAACAGCACTCACAGTTAATGACAAGAGATGGCGGTTAATCACATCCTTATGCAGGGATCAGGGTGCGGCTCAGGGGAGCTAAAGCCTCGCTGTAACCTGCCAGTGCAATTACCTTTTAGCAATTACAGCCAGCGTTGTTCAGGACACTTCAGCACAGAGCTACAACAAAGAGACGTCTGCAGGAAGACAGGCTGCCATTATAAACTACAGAGGTTTATGGGTCAAATGCAGGACGAAGGATTCGCTTAAACGCTTGCCGTTCTCTCGTGTTTCAGCCACTCACAATCAATTTGTCAAGAGCAGAAAAACAAAGGTTTCAAAGCTGTGAGAGCAACTCAGTATGAAACTGGAGACGTTTGAGGACACACGATGGAGAAATGTTCCAGATGCAAAAGTATGAAGCTTTTTTCTCAGAATCAGGTATATTTTCTCATTTGCATAACTTATATCAGTCTGACAGTCATCGTTCACTCTTATACTAAAAGAGGGGGTCAAATTAACATGACCGCAAGCCTTTCATCCCCCCACACAAACACCTGGTTAAGTTTTTTTGTTTTGTTTTGATTTTGTGGGGGTTTAGTCAAACATCTTACTTTCTTCAGCAGAGTCCTGCTTTAATGCACTGTAACAAGTCACCTTGGGAACTGGTGAATTTTATCTTAATGCATACACCACTGCCTCTCTATACCTATCTTTACTACACCTACTGATTTGTGGGCCACATGTCAGAGGGCAAGTTATATGGAAAGATGCCTTTGTTGGACGTTATAGAAACAGTCTGTCTGGCTTGAATTTTTGAACCATTTGCTTAACTACAGCTTCACAATTTGAGAGTATGGTTCAGTGAATGCAAGGTAGTGCAACAGGCCACAGGTTTTTCAGATGCAAACATGCACATGGCGATTTGTAGCAAAAAGAACACCCTATGGATCTGTCTGGTTTGAAGCCAATATATCTAGAGCCCCCCTCCTGCTGACTGGTAGCAGCAAAGGTCATTAATGGCGCCTTTGTTGATGGTTGCAGATGAGACGATGGCCAATGATAAAATTATGGTTCATGTCAAATTTTCTCAAACACGGTTTCATGGTAACATTCCAGATTGTTCTTCATATGCAGATTAATGTCCGAGTTTATTTCTCAGAGAATTGTTGTATTTATGGTTACTGAGTTTTAAAAATGGCAGATTTTCCATCATGATTGACAGATGCAAGCTGCAGCAGCATCCTGTGCCAGATCAGTTGAGGAAGGAAGGAACAGCGAGACAAACGTAACTAACTTGAGAGTCACTGAACTTTTTCTAACCGCGTATCTGCTTTAAATCAACATGACAATCTGTTCTGCTGTGGACCCGACCCACCTAGGGAATCTTTGACCTCTTTTTGGTACAGTAAGTGTGTTTCAGTCTCTTCTACTCTCATCATAGTTTCACCAGCACCAATGGCAGCTGCACCTATGGGAACGTTTTATTAGTGTCAAAGCTCTACATATAAAGCCTGTACTCTGTGCAGTTTGCTCTTGTGTTGGGTCTATCGTAGGGTCCGGCATCTTAGGTATAAGGCAGATATGATACACATCTTGATACAATGTCTCTGATCCAATATATGAAAGATACATATGTGCCATTATGCGGTGCAATACGATAGGATTCACACCGAAATCACAATACAAAGCGTATCCTTGGGCTTTTCAGTGAGCCCGCCATCTATCTTCTAACTTTGTTGTAAAGGGCAGGGATCTACTTTTTGGAGAATAGCTGTAGATTTGGTATTTTATACCGAGGCTCCAAGACTTGGAGGAGGTGTTTGAAACCTTTGTTTTCTGTGACACAGTAATGCTGAATATCTTTGCAAATAAATAATGCAAAAGCATTTGTTATTTCAAGCAGGGCATGGAAGAAACTTGCAATACTTTGCTCACCACTTTTGGAGCTGCCGGCTGCAGGCAAATCTGAGCTGGAAGCAGGGGAGGTGAGGGCGCTAGCAGACCCCTCCACGACAACACTGTGGTGCCACTTCAAGTGAGTTATCAGGTTAGTCGTACTGTTTGTGTATTTTACAGCAGGGCAGCACATTTTGCAAATCTGTCTTGTCAAGTCATCTGTCTTTTTTGTAAAACCCATAGTGTTGCCAAACTTTAGATTTACAACTCAGAGGAGGGTAAATTTGCTTAGTGTCTGACATATTAATAATAATAATAATACATTTTATTTGAAGCGCCTTTCACGTCACACAAGGACACTTTACAGAACATATAAAAACAATAATAAAACACTATTAACAATCAAAATCATTAATCATCAAACAGTTAAAAATCAACAAAGCAACATTAAACATGAACAACAGCAAAGGAATAAATAAAGAAATATTGGTTTACCTTACTCCTCACACTCCTTCTCACTGCTAGTATTTGTCCGTGGCACATGTAGTTCATCCGCAGAGCTGATATTTTAGTTTGCAGTGTACATCCAAAGGCATTATGCCCTCAAAATGGTTTGGTAACGTAAAAGTAAAAGTTATGTATTAAACTGATTGGATTGTATTGATAAAAACATATAATAAAAATACATCTCCATATGCATTCAAAACTGCATTCACTCTCAGCTGCTCTCCCGGTGCACCCGCATCTTGCAAATGCATGACCGCGTATCAATACGTATCGGTTAATCTTCTCATCCCTAGTTTGTAGTGATGAGGTGCAGCATGGAAGGAACTCACACACAGAGAGCAAAAAGCAAACAGATGAGAGTCTTAGTTGCAAAAATTCTTACTGAATGATGCAGAGCTAAACAGAGCAAATATGCAAACCTTTGGGACCTTCCTGAACTTCCCTCAGCACCAAATGGGACAGGCAATGTGAAGTTCTATACATTCTGACTGATCACCCCTGCAAGCTACAGATCAAGTTAGAGCAATAAAAAACAAGATTTAGCAAAAATTCATGAAATGAGTTTTTGATAAATATTTCCACCATTTTTTCGTCTTTATCCACCAGTTTTTTACCGTTGATGACAGAAAAATTACAGTCAGGAAAAACCTGCACAGTTCAGGTGCAGCTTCTCTGAAAGGGACTGTGGCAAGTCATCATGCCAAACTTAAGTATAGTATTTTTCAGAGGCGGGTTTTCCTCTTTTTAAAAACTCAAAGCTGCACATTTAAACCCCTGCTTTGGAAAAAAAGGTATCACTACACATAAGTTTGGTTCCATATAAACACTGAGAGCACGTGTAGTAACCACAAACGGGTGAACTCATAGTGCCGGTGTCTAACATCCGCACTGTGATAACATATCAACAATGGCCGCTCTATTGTTACTGTGGAGTTTGGAGGCTATCGAGGACATGCTGGACATCCTGAGACTGTTTATAGTTGTTGGAGTGAGGAGATATAAATGAGTGGACCTGTTCTCTCTGTGACTCACTTGGGAAAGATGAGCACGTATGAAAAACGACTCATCTGAATGGAGTTTGTCAGCCGCTGTGCACTCCAGGAAACAGATGCGGCCTGATAAGCTGAGAGGATGTCATATTGTGTGTGTGAGTGTGTGTTTTCCTATTGTAAATACGGTGTGTGTTCTCACACTTCCAGCTGCTTCCCTGTTCCATTCCACTCTGGGACAATTGGCTCGGGCAGCAGGCCGCTCTGAGGGGGACCAGAGGCCACACTGACCCGTCGACTTTGACCCACTACAGGGCAGGATAACAGAGAGGTAAATCACTGCTGTTTACTCCACTGTCTCAGGAGCCTCGCTTGCTGTTAACCTCAACCGTATCTCACCAAACCCAGAAAGATACCCAGAAACAGGCTCTGAAGTGAGGAGAGAGAGTCTGCAGCCGTCTGGAGTTCTGCTGAGAGCAGAAATGGAAAATGAAGTAAATCACAGCTGTGTATCCGCTTCTCTCACACACTGTTTATGTGGAGAGATACGCCTTTGTGTGTTTGTGTATTTGTGTTTTAGTGTGTTGACTGTGTACACACTCTTTGCCTGTGATTGTTTGCAAGTGCAGACTTGAGAGGGTGTGAGTCACCACAGTGCCGACTCTATTATAAGCAACAGAGTAGCAGAAGCGGCAAATCACACCAGCACATGTCTGAATAACACTCAGAATAAGCAGCAGGGTCGCTCTGCAGATTGAAGGATGCAGGTTCAGCTAGTTTCCCTGTTCTGTCCTGTTAAATCCTCTTACAGTCAGACAACATAATGAAGAGTGCAGGTCCTCAAGCAATAGGCAGAGGTGATGAAAACGTACTTAAACATTCAGTAATCTGAGCTCTCCTACAGGCCTGGAGCACTTATGTTATGTTGTTCCAAAAGTTTGGAAGCAAGATCAAATTTGTACAAAAAAAGACCATAGTTTCATATAATTTGCAACACAATAAACACTATTGCTTTCTTTAAAGTAACCTCCTCTGGCTTTAACAACAGCTTGGCATATTGGCGTTTTTTAAGGTATGTTCCAGGGATTGCATTCCAAGCTTTATTAACTTCATTAAAAAGAGACTGCTGATTCATGGGATGCACTTTTCTGACCGATCGATCCAATTCATCCTGCACAAGCTCAATTGGAGGAAGGTGTGGAGACTGAGGGGGCCAAATCATTTTGAAGAACACCTTCCTCTTCTTTTTTGTCTAGGTAACCCTAACAGAGCTTGGCAGAGTGCTTAGGGTCATTGTCTTGCTGCAAAACAAACTTATGACCCACAAGTCTGAGTCCAGATGGAACAGCATGGTGCTGGAGGATGGAGTGGTACTGTTCCTTCTTCATGATACCCTTTACTTCAAACAAATCTTCTACTCCATCACCTGCAAAACATCCCCATACCATGGAACTACCACCTCCATGCTGAATTGTGGGTGTAACACATGGTGCTTTCAGACGTTCACCAGTTTGTCTGCAGACATAGGGCTCTATTTTCGTGCCTCACCGGCGACGCGGTGCATGCGCAGCGTAAGTCAGGTCCCCCGCGCCGACAAGGGCGTTCCAAAGCACAATTTGGTATTTTGGTGAGCAGCACAACCCGGCGTAAGTATCCCCCCTCCCTAACTCAGCTCCTCCCAGCGGTGTAAGTCCTAGCGAGGGAGGAGAGAGGGCGTGGGGTGGGTTTAACACAGCCGAGACCTGTATTGACCAATAACATCAGCTCCTCTCCTCGCCTTTAAATCCGCCACCGGCAAGGCGTATTACAATTTTCATGCAGTAGTCAAAGAGATCAAGAGATGTCTGAAGACAGTAATGCCACACGATGGCGACAGAAGGCAGCCCCTCAACAAGTGTCACTGTAAGCACTGCAGAGGGCGTCCTTCACACTGTCTCATATGAGCACAGATGGATTTGGTGTGTGTAAGTTTGGACCCACTGGTAAGACAAACACCCTTTCCACAAATAAAGACACTCACATAAAGTGTCACATATTCAAACCTCACGTGACAAAGGTGGGTTGTGCACACAGATCACATCATAAATTCCAAAAATGGTATTAAAATTGGAACCATCTGTGTGTAATGATGTATCGCGCTCCGTGGCCTGGCTCTTTCTTTCATAGATGTTGGCATATGAAATAAATTTGACTCACAAAACTGAATACTATAATGTAGGCGTATGTAGGCTTAAAGTAAATAACTCATCTGATCACTGAAACAAATCATCTGTTCAGCCGCCGCAGCAGCAGCTGCAGCTGCAGCAGGGACGGGGAGAGGACACGGAGACATGTCAAGGTCGAGCTGCGTGAGAAATAAGAGGAAGAGGAAGAAAGAAAAGGAGGGAGATGAGTTACATATCTTGTTAACTTCATCATGTGTGTCTATTTAGTAGATATTTAATTTAATTTAATGCGGTTTCAGCTGTGTTGATTCGGTCAGGTTGAGTGTCTAAACGCGTGCCAAACTCGCTCATCAGATCAGATATAGATCAGAATATATCTATATAGATCTAAATGTATGTGCTGACTCAGATTATTAGTTGTTGATGATTATTTATTGCACTGAAATGTGCCTGACACTGTGGTAACCTGCCGGCGAGGCATCAGTGACGTATGCCGATATGCTGCCGGTCTACCAAAATACCTCTAGACCAGCTGCGCTCTGCCTGCGCTGAAAACTGACCAGGTTTGAATCGGCAAGCTTTCGGCGCACTTTATACGCCGGTGGCGAGCACAAGCCTGTATCTGTACTTTCTTTTCTTTACTCAGTTGCTTCTTTCTAGCCATTTCTGCTGTAGTTTGAACGCAGTTGAGATTTATTAGGATTTTTGTCTGCAGACTCTCAAAAGCCAAAAAGTTGAAGTGAATAATCCAACTGTGATTTGTCTTTTTGCTTTTGCACTGAAGTTGTGACTCTTGCAAATGTTTTCAACCCTAAAAATAGGCCCTTATTATCTTTTGCTGACATACACTCACCGGCCACTTTATTAGGTACACCTGTCCAACTGCTCGTTAACACTTAATTTCTAATCAGCCAATCACATGGCGGCAACTTAGTGCATTTAGGCATGTAGACATGGTCAAGACAATCTCCTGCAGTTCAAACCGAGCATCAGTATGGGGAAGAAAGGTGATTTGAGTGACTTTGAACGTGGCATGGTTGTTGGTGCCAGAAGGGCTGGTCTGAGTATTTCAGAAACTGCTGATCTACTGGGATTTTCACGCACAACCATCTCTAGGGTTTACAGAGAATGGTCCGAAAAAGAAAAAATATCCAGTGAGGGGCAGTTCTGTGGGCGGAAATGCCTTGTTGATGCCAGAGGTCAGAGGAGAATGGCCAGACTGGTTCGTGCTGATAGAAAGGCAATAGTGACTCAAATAACCACCCGTTACAACCAAGGTAGGCAGAAGAGCATCTCTGAACGCACAGTACATTGAACTTTGAGGCAGATGGGCTACAGCAGCAGAAGACCACACCGGGTGCCACTCCTTTCAGCTAAGAACAGGAAACTGAGGCTACAATTTGCACAAGCTCATCGAAATTGGACAATAGAAGATTGGAAAAACGTTGCCTGGTCTGATGAGTCTCGATTTCTGCTGTGACATTCGGATGGTAGGGTCAGAATTTGGCATCAACAACATAAAAGCATGGATCCATCCTGCCTTGTATCAACGGTTCAGGCTGGTGGTGGTGGTGTCATGGTATGGGGAATATTTTCTTGGCACTCTTTGGGCCCCTTGGTACCAATTGAGCATCGTTGCAACGCCACAGCCTACCTGAGTATTGTTGCTGACCATGTCCATCCCTTTATGACCACAATGTACCCAACTTCTGATGGCTACTTTCAGCAGGATAATGCGCCATGTCATAAAGCTGGAATCATCTCAGACTGGTTTCTTGAACATGACAATGAGTTCACTGTACTCAAATGGCCTCCACAGTCACCAGATCTCAATCCAATAGAGCATCTTTGGGATGTGGTGGAACGGGAGATTCGCATCATGGATGTGCAGCCGACAAATCTGCGGCAACTGTGTGATGCCATCATGTCAATATGGACCAAGCTCTCTGAGGAATGCTTCCAGCACCTTATTGAATCTATGCCACGAAGAATTGAGGCAGTTCTGAAGGCAAAAGGGGGTCCAACCCGTTACTAGCATGGTGTACCTAATAAAGTGGCCGGTGAGTGTATATTTAGCAATGGTCTGTTAACATCAATGCATATCTAAAGGTAAATGGAGTAAAATGGTGCATTTCCATGAAAGCAACATCTGATCATGGAGTAAATACATCCCAAAATACATCAAACTCATGCTGGATTAAAACAAAAAGCATTGTGAACAAAAACTTGAAGTTACTCCCAACTGTTCGGCCTGTTTTCTGGACAACATAGTGTCACTCCCTCTTTAGTCCACCTGGGGCTGTCGTTGTGAGTTTTGGCAGGCCTCAGTGGGTGGAGGGTGGGGGTTGGGGGCACGCTTTACAAATGAGTGGAGTCATCCACTGTTGTTAACAACTATATTGGCATTTAGAAGTGTTTGCAAAACAGACTCACTTTAAGACTGACATACCACAAAACCCTGCACATTCAAACTCATACTGCTGCAGAGGAACCCACTGCTGAGCAGTTGAATGCTTAAGGTCCCTGACCAGCCTGCAGTGTTAAATAAGTTGAGACATTGTGTTGTTGTAAGTGATAATGTTTACACACAGTGACATTTAAGATATGACAAAACCCCATTAACTACAGAGCAGACTAATGACTCCCATGAGGATTACATTTAGATGTTTTTATTCAACTCACACATAAATTACAGCCTGAAACACAAGGTGCACAAAGCGCACTACATCATTTTTATTCCTCGCTGGAAACGTGAAGCGTTATCAGGCTCATAAAAAGGTGACCTTTCCATGAAAAAAGCTCGGTCCCTCCCTTACATGAAGGTAATTTCAGGCAACATGACACAGGTGTTAGCATGGAATATCAATGCTACTTTATTATTCTCTCTTTATTTTTTTACAGGCTGCAACTTCCCCCCTGAGCAGGGAAACTTTCCCCTTGGTGATACGGACTTGGTGAAAGATATACCTGTGTAAAATTCATGAATTCATAACTTTTGAGGGTATATTTCACTACTGATCTATTGGGCTGTGATAAGAATTCAAAGGTGAATGGAGCTGGAGGACATCTTCAAAGCGGTCGAGGACATCACAGGAAAGCCAATGAGGCGTGTTGCCCTCCTCAAACATCCTTGGAATACATCTCATGTGCCTCTCCCTCGCCGCAATGTGAGACACTGTCAGAGAAAACCGGATGCCATTGCAGTCTGCTGCCATTAACTTGATTTACTCTTTGGTTTTAGTCAAACTTTGACACTAAAAAGCAGTTGCATCAGCAAGTTTCATCACAATATGTTAAATCATGCAAAGACAAGAAAAAAAGAGCAGCATTCCTGCTGAAGGACATGATTAATCAAAGAAAAGGTGCATCTGTTTGTAGAAAGCTTTAGATCTACAGATTCTGCTGCAGAGCTGTGACAACTCAGCTTACACTTTAACACCATGCCCTGCGACAGCACCGTTTCAGTCAATATGAATTATACAGCATAACACTGCAAAAACTGTATTTTTCCAAGTGCATTTGTCTAGTTTCTGTTGTCATAAACGGTAACATATCACAGATGAAATAAGATTGTGAAAAAAAATGTCTTGCATCAGCTATCAGTTTAATTTAATTCATATTTGGAACAATATCTCAAAAGGAGATGTCTATCAGAACTTTTCAGGTCAGCATGGCTTGTGTAATGAGATATAAGTGAAATGACATATTTTAAATAGCAATAAGTCAAATGAACTGATGCTGAAGAAGCACAAGAGGTCTTCTATCCTGCAGGCTTTGACATTTACACCACAGTGTTGTTTTTTGCCTCTGTAAGGCCTCTTTTTCCACCCTGGAGCTCAGAGGGATGGTTTCTCTTGGTTATTAAGCGTCTGCAAAAAGTAGGCCTTGATTAGATGAGAACAGATTTTCCTTTGCATTTAAAAAAATCTGCCTCCACATGACAACAAGCCTTCCTTGTGTTTCTGCTATGAATCTGTGCCATAGCATTAGGCTATGCCATGGGTCCACATGGGCCTGTGCTTATGTACATAGACTGACACACACTTCTTCATAAATATAGCCACCCATTGAAACTGTGTGGGGTCTCCCTATTTCAACATCTCCCCTCTTTTTCTTAGAAATAAATACAGCATGATCATCTTCTGCAGAACATATCAGCTCAGATTCAGTCAACATGGTTTCCTGTTCTCAAACAAGGAGGAAACCAAGCAAGGCCTGAAACTGGGAGGGTGAACACGTAAAGGAACAGCCAAAACACAGCAGAAGTTAATGGTTTTCTATATACTGTGTTTCTATGCAAACAACCTTTTACACTGGCAGTAAGCTGAAATGGTCCCATTTGATGTCTTGGACTGTCAGTGTAGAAGTGATTTGAAACCTTGCACATGCTCTGTTGACCCTCAGCTCAGCAGCATCATCTCCTCTCAGCTCAATCATCAAAGCTAGTAGCCGTTAGCATGTGTCAACAGAGGTGGATAACCCCCAGTAAAAACAAGAGGACACAGAGACAATCAAAGGCTGCTGGCTCTACCGGAGTCGACAGTGGTCAGCTCCTGGAGGTGATAAGGGCCTTTGAACCTGAAAGCAGCTCCAGGCCCCCCTTCGTGTCCCCCTGAGCCCCCCTTGAGCCTGGCCATAGATGGGTCCACTTTGATTTTGGCCCTCAGAGAATCGGGGCAGCTCTCTTTATCTCTGCTGGAGAGAGAAAGAGAGAGTGAGTGAAAGTGCCCAGATCTATGAGATATTGGTGCATCAGTGACGGACACTTCTCTTCAGACTGGGTCACTATGTCTGACCTCAAACACTTGACTTGGAATGCAGGAAAAAGCAGATAAGTGCTTCTGTGAGGGCCTGCAATGTCTAATGACAGCTGCCCAGTCGGTCACTTGTAATCCCTCTCCAAGTTACATTCAGAATTCCATTGTTTGCTGTTGCACAAACAGTTGGTACAAAGATGTGAATGCAATCTGTGTCAGTGTCAGTGTGAGGCTGTGCTGCAAAAGAAACCAGCATTTAATCCTCCTGATGTGCTAGAATTGCTCTGAACCGCTGATTTAGTTGTTGGTGAAATAAAAAAGTTGCTGTTTAAGAAGACCTGACAGAGCATTAGTTTTACCTGTCAAAAATCTGCATCATGGTGGAGAGTAAACATGGCCGTATGGACATAATCTGTAAATTCTGCCTGCAGATTTTAGTCGACATATGACACAGTGAGAGTTGGACAGGTGAAACGAAGGACTAATAGTGAGTATCCACCCCAGAAATCTTCGTCGTGATGCAGGCCAGCCTCAAGAAGCTGGATTCACACAATCATAAATTGAAATACAGATGTTCCTGTTCAAATATTACTACAACACAAGTGAAAGTTTCTTGGCAAAATTATCACAAGTACTGGAGTTCTTATTTTTAAAACACACGCTGGAAAGTATTACTCACAGAATTGCAGAGTGGTAGCTCCAAAACACTAAAAAGAACATCCCAAAATACCTGATGACCAGAGGTGATGTCAGCCAGACTTTGCCCAGAGAGAAAACATTTAATTTCATGGCTGCAAAGCCTCTTAAACCATGCAAAGTGTTCAGCGCACTCTTATTTTTGGTGCTGCATTAGCTTCCTTCACTTTTTCACTTTTGTGCAGCAGTGTTAGCACTCTGCCTTTATTAAAACATGTTAAAAGGCCTCAAATGAAAACAACAGCTAAGTTCAATCAATCAAACTTTATTTATGAATCACTTTTTAATCAAGAAATGTAGCACAAAAGGCTAACCATTGTGCCAAGTTACTCTGAGTACAGAGAAGGTGGTTTAACTGTTAGTTTGGAATGACACAAATCTTCGGCTAAAAACCTCTACATGCTTTCTCAGGTTCTCTCTCCCACTTTCCCACTCTATTTCCTGTCCTATTCTCTTCATAAAAAGCCCCTGAAAAAAAAAAACTAATTTGTTCTCTTTACTTTGTCACTGTCCACCACTAGAAAAGGGGGACTATAATAATGTAGGACATGCATGTTTTTTTTCCGATGTTCTCTCAGTTGGCTGTATCCTCATCGTAACACCTCCCGTTTCCAAACTGACTGCTCTCACTATGTAATTCAAGGCCGTTTATCTCCACCTTGTTTAACTTTACAGCTCAAACCTTCAAATCCGCTCTTCAGCGAGATGTGCAGAGCAAGGTTACGGAACAAAAGCCCCCCCTGCTCCAGTGTTATTGTGGTTCAAGTCATGTCTGCGTGGTGAGCAGACTGTCTGCCTCTGCATGGGATGAGTCCTGTCGGTTATTCTGGAGGTAAAAGACTGGATCTGAAAGAGGGTTCCATTTTCTCTGTTGCTTCTGCTTAAAATAGTGTTTGAAAATGCGACATTCCTGCCTCCGTTTGAAGTCTGCACTTAAATAAAATGAGGCCAGGATTTTACTGTGAGGTGAGAAAGGTGAGAGGTCAAAGGGCGTCCAGGTGAGCCCAGCCTACAGGGCAGGTATGTTATGAGATGGAAAGAGGAATGAGCATCATCCACTCTGCACCTACATCCAGTCTGTCCACCCTTTTTGCAGCATGCATGCATGCACAGATGTATGTACATCCTCCATACATACAACACAGCATCTATAATTGCATCTCTACTTGAAAGCAGCAGAGAAATCACTTGAGGCTGGAGCTGGCTGATTGTGGTTCAAGTCATGTCATGCGTGGTGAGCAGACTGTCTGCCTCACTGCATGGGATGAGTCCAATGTCGGTATATTCTGGAGGTAAGACTGCACTCATGTTGAAGGATGTCTTTACAGATATTGTGCATCTCTTCATCACTGATGATCGACCACATGAGCGGGGTGGGGGTGGGGGGGGGGGTGTTGTGCTTGATGAGGCAGAGCAGCAAGAACATTAATTATTCAATACACAAATCACAAAAATAAAGATGGCAAACCAAATTGTTCTGAAAATTTCCTGAGGAAAAAAAATGTTGGCAATCGTCCCAAAATGCTGTTTGAAAATGCTCTTTGAAGGTAATGAGGCATGCTCATGGCACACAGAAACAGGGAGCAGTGCCATAGAAGAGCAGCATGTTCTCAATTGGGTTTCTTTTCTGCTTACATATCACTTTAGAACAGCACGTGTGGTACATCTCTAATGAAGAGCGGGATTGCACCCTGCCCCCTCTGAGGGCAAACGTGTCTTTTAAAGAAAAGGGAGAAAAAGGTGGTAATAGAAAGGTAGAGAAAACAGCCGAACTGGAGGAAATCCACATTTTTCTTGCAGAACTAAATGTCACACTAAGCTCAAATGAAAGTACAAGACTCTATCTGCTGCAGAGATTGAGGCTGTTCTGTGAAACTCTGTGTTATAGTCGCCGTTTTTATGGGTAATGAGATATGAGAGGATCTCCTCCTTTATTGTTAATAATACATTTGAGGTAAAGGGGGAAATAATATTTTTATTGTCTCTCCAAAGCCCTCCAGAACCTGATGAAGCCAGCTGTGAAAATGCAGGGCTTATTAACAAGCTTTTAGGTGGTAAAAATGATATAGAGATCATGAACAATTTATGTGAAGGACCACAAAAAGAGTTTAAACTTGAGCGATCATTTATTCATCCACTGTAAATGGATAAGCTCGGTCAATATAAATTACAGTCAGAGTTGGCTGAGAGCAGAGCAGTAAATCATGAAACTGAGGGATACAATGACACGCAGCCAGCTTTTAGGAAGTTGAGAGTTGTATTTATATGAAGGACTTCACATTTATAGATTAAATTAACCCTTTCACGTATAACGGTCACTACAGTGGACAAATCTTCAAAGGTCATTTTCTATTATAAAAATAGAGGTTTGATGTTACAAATGCATGTTAGCCACTACAGTAGACCCTGGAAAATGAGTCCAACACTGGTGCCATGTGGCCATGTGTTGCAACTGCAGAAAAAATACGTCAACATTCAAGATGGCTGCCTCTGCTGAGAACAGACCCTCCACCTCTGGGATTTCCACTGCTTCCTTTTATAAAAGCAGAGCCCTGCAGGTAAAAAAAATATTTTGGGATAAAGTAACATCTAATAATTACTATAGTTGCAAAAAATTCCATGCATTGCTTTTATGTTCTGAGGAAATTGGAATTTTCCATTTGTCCACTAGGGTGGACAGCATGCATGACTTATACTATTTCTGCTACAATACATGCAAATGGTGTAACTCCTTATCTCTGCAAAATGCTTGATTTCAAGCTTACCTTTTCAGTTAAAACCAACCATTTTATGTTATTAAAAGGTAACCTGTATTGTATGTATCAAAAAATTAATGTTGTGCATGTATTTTATATTTTGTGCATGCATAGTATATATTGTATTTTGTGCAGCCTTTGTGCAAATTTTGCAATGTTTATAAAACATTTTTTGCAAAAATATATTTTGTGCACGCATTGTAACACACACACACACACACACACACACACACACACACACACACACACTACAAACAGTGCATGCACAAAATATTATAAAAACAATGGAAAAAATATATATACATATATAAGATAAATAGAAAGAAAGATTGATTGGTTGTGCAATATTTTTCACATTATGTTATTTATTATATGCAGGGTTCACGCACAGAGAGAGACCAGAGGAAGTACAGAAATGTAGAGGAACTGCCATTGTCCAGCGATGCAATATCACTGTGTGCCTTATTTTCAAATGTGAACTAATGTAGTACAGGGCATCGACAACTGAACGTGTTTGGATAGTCACTAAGTCACTATTTCTTTTGTTTATTATTGTAATTATTATTTTCATGAATGATCCAATCTATGGCATTTGTTTTTGCTTTGAGTTTGCTGGCTGAAGTTGTAGCACCTGGCCTGAAGCCTAATTAGGCTAATGGTATCAGTTCGTTTGACACAGTTGACAGTTGTTGTTGCTGTTGTTTGACACAAGCCATGTTTTGTAATGTGCATTTAAACAGAATTTAAATGTTTTAAAATGTGAATCTAATTGTTTTGACTCCTTTTGGGGTGGAGTTCTATTATTTGTATTAATACAATTCATTTTCTGTAATGTCGACCAAATGCATGTTGTCCGCTGTAGTGGACATGTCACTAAAAACTTAGCAGAAACAGGTAGAAAAAATTCCAACTGCAATATTATTTATATGCCTTATATTGAATAAAAACACATAGTAAGAATTTTTTAACTCAATATATCATAATTCATGCATGAAAGGGTTAAACACCTCAGGGCTCTTATTCCACTTTTCACCAACCTTTTACAAAACAGGTCCGTCTTTAATTTTCCTGAAGCAAACATTCACACTTGCTGCGTTTACATAGGCACAAATAATTGGAATAAAGGCCCGGTTGGAATAAAAAATTAATCATGTAAACATGTTGACAGGAAGATTCTGATCCAATTCGACTCAATCAGAAGTAAATTGTATTCCGATCAAGAGAGGTGGTTTATATGGTAGTTTACAGCCAATCTATTTTCTGAGAAGGCTCTGGTCTTTTGGTGCCACTACACCTGTTCTTCTGCTCCACCATTTGAAGCGTCCTGCAGTATGGATGCCCAGTCTGGTTCTGTGGCCTTACAGGCCAGCTGACGGCAGATTCTTAGGCTGCTAAATATCTGTTCAGAAATGGTGGAGCAGAGGGTTGAGGATTGTTTTCTCAGACTGGCTGACAAGAGGATCCTTCTCATATCCTGCATGAGGAGTGTCAGCTTTTGCCACCAGAGAGATTTTTTAGGGTGCCAAACAGTAAGAAAAATAAGTATAAGCTTTCTTCTATTCTTGACTCCATTTCTTTATTGAACAAACAATAGAGTGGAGGTGGGGCATCTCCACACACACACACACACACACACACACACACACACACAATCAGAATTTCGACTGTTGTTTGATAGTTGGACATTTTAACCTTTTTATGATGTTCTTTAATGAAATGCTTATTTCTTTATCATTTCCTTGAAGTAATGATCATCATATTAATCATTTTGCACTGCAGACGCGGTAGTTCTTCTGCTTTAGCGTCTCGGTTTGATTGCATTTCCATAAAGAAATGATCAAAAATGTTCTTCCTTCAGCTGCGTCACACTGCATCAGTCTGTAATGGACTGGCCTGAGGTCTCGCTATAAACAAGCAGCTGCTGGAAGAGAGTAGGTGAGTTGTGTTTCGTCTCTTTGTTAAAAAATTAAGCAAAGTTAAAAAGATGTTTGGTGGCAAGTGCTGAGGCTAGGACCCTGTATGTACTGTTGATGAAGTTAGGTGCTGTTCGGAGCATTATTCCTGGCTATAGATTGGCTTTTTGTTTGAAGTTTGTTTATGGCTCCTCAGACCGCTGTATATTGCTATCCTGCGGTCATTACTAAAATTGGTATAACTAGAGGAGCAAATGGTCGGCAACATTCATCTCTAGAGGGGGTGTCTAACTCGGTGTTACGCTGTGTTTGACCCTAAAGTAATTTTATGCTGATATATCCCTTTAAGTATTATCTTAAGTTCAGGAGTTTGATCCTGCTGGTCTCACTATCCACATGCCAAAAGCAAAACAAGGCAATTCAAAATAATGAACACAGACAGTGAAAGAATTAATGCAGCAGTTAGACAAACACATTAAATGAAAACATACAAGAATCATAAAAAGGTCCTTGTCACTCTTCACAAATTCATTTCAATGCAGAGATTCAGGAGTGATGAGACAATTTCTATAATTACATACCTAACCCTGCAGGTGGATTGATTTAGGAGGTTAGGCTAAAAGTGTTGGTGTAGGGCAGAAGTGGGACTGATTGGAAATCCTGAGGCTCAAACAGACCATTGGATTAGGTCAATATATTTGTCATGCTGCATCAACAGAACATCATAAGATCTAAATTAATCAGAATGATCTTGAAAAAACACATGCTGATTTTGACAATAAATGCATTTGCTTGAGAAAAAAACAAAACAAAAAAAACAAACAAACTGAAAAGTTAGGTCGCTTTCATACCAGAGCTGTTTGGTCCGCTTTAAACGGACCAGAGTTCGTTTCCTCGGATAGTCCACTTCGTTTGGGCAGGTGTGAAAGCTCATCCGAACTCTGGTGCGGACCAAACAAGCGAACTCTGGTCCCCCTAAAAACGTGGCTCTCGGTTTGCTTGCAAGTGAACCCTGGTTCGGTTTGTATGCAGTGTCAAAGATCACAGGACCAAACACAGGACTAAATGTACGGAATGACGCTATACGCAGTGCATACACCCTTGCTATGGCAACAAGTGACCGCTGACATTAGCAGTTGCTAGCTAGCTTAGCTCAATTGTCTGAACATCAATAACCAATAAATTTACAATTTGGCATACTTAAACAAAATCAAATCACAACTACCGACAGTCACAGTCCTTAAACTCTGAGCTCATATGTTGTCACATGTTAGATCGTCAAAGTTAGAAAAATAACAGGATCAATTCCTGACAATTTATGATAGCATTATAGGAACAGTTGCGTTCACTAACGTTGTAGCATTCCGTAAAATAATGTGACGACGCACTATACAAGACGGCTAGTCCATCCCTGTTTGTAATCCGTGAGGTTACATACCCCTCCTACTTTGTCCAATCGACGAGCGCCCCTTTCAACCACGTGATGCTGCTCGGAAAGTTCGGTGCGCTTTAGAAATCACAGTGTGAAAGGAGAACCGAAACAAGTGATAAATGCAACAATGTTGTGACTTTCAGCTCCCCAATCGAACCAAGTCCACTTGGTCAGGTGTGACAGCAACCTAACTGTTATATTTGACAGAGTGAGCCCTTTGCCCTCAATGCTGCAGCATTTATCTGAATAATACATTTAAAAGTCAGAGTCATAAAGTACATTTTATGGCAATCATTTGATTCCCAATTCAAGACATGAACAAAACATGCTTTGTATTGCTAAAAAAGGTTTTGCAATTCAAACATTTGATAAAAAATGTAATATAGTTCAAAATGAGCAATTAGTCACGATTAAAAAAAAATATTGTTTGATAGAAAAGAAAACAAACCAAATAAAAACTGATTTGGTGACTTAAAATAAAAGAGTAATGTATATAAAGATCCCAGGGTTTGTGTAAAAAAAATAAGAAATAAAAAACATCAGTTTCACCCTTTGAAGGTGTCATACCTGTTGTCCATAAAGATCCTGAAACACAGAGAGTGCCGTCAGAGTGAAAATCTGCCTTTTTTTACACACAGAATCAGTGCCCTTCAAATGTGTTCTCCCCAAACAGATAAAGAGGAGGAAACCAAATCCAGCTAATCTGTAATGCATTAGCAGGCACACTAACAGTATGTTACAGCCCATTAGTGGTAAACAATGATAGTTGATTTTCAGATGGCAGAGATAGCCATTACAGTAATTTGCTCTAGCCTGCGTCAACCCCCCCAATGACAAGTGCTGCTTCCGGCCCTGACGTTAGATCAATAATACAAAACCTCCTTAAAGTTGTGCCCTATGGTTTCAGTTAAAAGTGCTTCCTCTCAAACTAATGATGCAGGTTAATTGGCTTGTCATCGTTTAGGAGTTTACTGCGACACAAACAGGCTGTTTCAAACCTTAATGCTCCAGGGACAAGCATATCTCCTCTGTGTTTCCTCATTGATGTGTTTTCTACTTCTTGGATGACCACCAAATTGCTCTGCTTGTGTGAGTTTTGCTTTTTTACAGGGTCAATACAGTTTAGCAAAATCAGTTTGTCCAGAAAATATTCTAAAAAGCTCCTCAGATCAAGGATTCGCAAAATTAGGGGTCATCAGAAGCTGGAAAATTAGTAAAGTGTGGAAGTGCTGTTAACTAAAGCCCCTTAACTGGCCAATAGGAGTAAATCTCCATATAGAACAATCTTAAGAAGTTTGACTTTATAGCAAAATTTAACATGTTTACAACCTAGGACAGGGGTGGGTCTGATCTTTTGGCTCAGATCTTGACTCATTTCAATTTAACTTGGGGGTGGAGGGGTGGGGGGTATTACTGTTTTCTAAAGAATCTAATAGACCCCTACAGTGGTACTTAAATCGCTTAAACATTAAGACAGCAAATCCTCTCGCTAAAACTTTGCCTTTTTTGTGATTGTGTTCGAGGGAGAAATACTTTGGCTTTATGGTGCAGAGGCAAAGGCATAACGTTTGGGTCATTTCATATCCACATCTGTGAATCTGTGTAAAAAGTTACATCCCCAGTTGAAAAGCAGCCAAACCAAAGTGTTCCAAGCAAGGTAAATGAGGAGTTTCTTCACTACTTCCAGACCTACAGAGTTTAATAGATCTCCTGTAAGTTACCTAGTATGTGTCTACTCATTTTGTGTCAGTGTTTGCTTCTTAAGTCTGATAAAGGAGCTTTTTTGTTGACTACCACAGTTGGACTGTGACTATCAGACAAACTTGAATATTTTTACCTCTTTTGTCCATGAAGCCTTGATAACTTGGGTTCACAAATGTATCGCTCCACTCCGGCTCCTCCTTTTTGTCCAAATATAGTCACATGGTGGCCAATGAGTTGTTAACCTGTAGCTTTAGAAAGTGATCTGATTTCTCAATGGCTATTCCCATTCCAAACACAATGCAAAGTTACCTGAACACACACAGACACCGATTCAGCTGGTTTAACATATGGTGCTCTCTCTCCATACTGTTGTCTGACATGTTTCCTCCCCTCAGATCACCCCAGGGGTCGGCCACCTCTATTGATCCTATCCATGTATTAATCAGACTCTCTGTGGACACTACAGGCCTGCTGTTTGTTAGCAGCTCTCCTACAGGAGAGCTACTGTTAGAGGTTCGCTGTCGCACATTATCCTGAATAAGTAATGAGGACGCCTGTAAAGGTGCAACTTCCTCTTACATTAGGATAAACGGCTTTCAGATGGGAGGGGGAACATTTTGTTAATATGCATGCAAAGAGAGAGGGGGGGGGGGGGGGGGTTGGGGGTGACAGAGCAGGAAAGACAGACAGAGAGTGTTATTATTAAGGACCAGGGACAAACTAAATCTCTGCACTGAGAAGGACGTTCAAGATCAATCGCTGGGAGAAGATGCAGACTAAGTGCTTTTGTTTCTGTGGGAGAGG